CTCCCTCCCTCTCTCCCTGCCTCCCTCCCTCCTTCCCTCCCTCCCTCTCTCCCTCCCTCCCTCCCTCTCTCCCTACCTGCCTGCCTTCCTTGCTGGCTCTCTGGTAACCCCTGACTCAAGATGAAGTGACTCACAGGTCTGTACCTGGCTCGTGGAGGACCCACTTTTGAGGCTCCCTCATGGGCATCTGGCCAGGCTTCCATCTGCTGCCACACCATTGCCTGTTCCTGCAGAGCCTGATTGTGAATGACAGCTGCACCAGGAGCAGCATGTGTGATGGACAGAAACAAAACGTCCTCTCTCCTCTCTTCTCCCAATGAGCCCAGTCAAAACCTTACCCCACCACCACTCCCCACCCCTGCTCATCCATGAATGGGTGGCCAGTTTATGTGACGAAAATGGGGAAGCTTGCCCTGGGTTCGCTCATAGGAAAGCCTGGGCTAGGATGATGCTGGAGGACCGCAGTTCCCTCTCAGCTGCGCCTGCCCAAGGAGCAGTGTGGCCTCGTTCCAGAGGCAGCGTCCATCTTGGGGCGATGAGCCCAGCTCTGCTGATGGCCCAGGGCTCCACATCATCCTAGGTCATACCTTTCCCTGGAAGCCACTCTCTCATCCCATCATTTCTGCAAATGCTGCTGTGTGCAGATCCAAGCCGCCGCCTACATTTTCCTTTGCATTCACTGTGGCGTGGCCCACAGAAGCATTTTTCACATTACTAAGCAGATGCCTTCCCATTAGGCCCTGGTCTAACCTAATCTGTCTCCCCTTTGTGTTCCAGTCCATTTCCTAAAGTGAGGGGCGTCAGGCTGCTAGTGGGGAAGCTGGAGGCTCTCTCCTTTGACACCCATCAGAAGAGGTTCATCCTCACTTAGCCTGAAGGAGGCTGAGGGTGCAGCTGCACCTTGATTTTCATCTCTGGCCAGGAGGATAGTGATGGCTCTGACACCGTGAATACATCACCCCAGAGAAGCTGAGCTGAACTGAGGGTGTCTGAGGACAGAAGAGCTAGGGTACTTCCTTGGAGGGCGCTTGTGTTTTGTATTGAATGGCAAGGGCTCGGCAGTGGTAGGCGCTGACCGAAAGCCACCACACGTGGCCTGCTTATTGACCTGGGAATGAGAGGCAGGAGCCAGAGCTGTTTGGGTAAACAGGATTTACACTGTGCTGCTTTATGCTCTTGTAATTATCTGATGACCCAGTTGCTGTATATGGCAGACGGGACTTAGAAAGTAAGAGGGAAATTCTTCTGACTTGAAATTATGGAGCAATTTAGGACCACTTTCATAAATTATTTTCTAACTCTGGAAGGGCCAGAAATGACCTGACTCTAATTTATCAGTGCTGGGCCCACTTGAAAGCATACTAAGAGTCTGTATATAGCCATGCCCAGACACATACACCGAGTCAGCCCTCAGCTCCTGGTACAAGTGAACCTGGGCCAGGCAGTCTTTAAATTTAACTTGAATTTACTTTTAGCTTTCAGTATCCAGTTTTCACCGGGATCGTCCTTTGCAGCTGAGTAGGCAAAGGCTGTTGAGGATGGAAACTTCCCTGGTGCAGTCAGCATGCAGCTGGTTGGGCAGAAAAGCGATGGCCCAGGCAGTGAGAGGCAGAGCGGGCCTTACCCCTGGGCAGCTGACTGCAGAACCCAGGCTGATCACCACTGTGCTCTGGTGTTTTCCTGGTGCCCAGGATTTGGGTCATAATTTAGAAATTCAGATTTTGGGTTGGTTGACTTAAATGCATACTTAATTATTAAATATTACTCCTTGTGAGCCCAGGCTCTGTCCACAGATGATGCGACATTTCAAAACTTGTGAGGTTGTCTTTCCTTTGGAATTTGCAATTTTGTTGAGAGATTTCACCCATTAAATCAAGAGTGACTAACACTTACTGAGCACTTACAATGTAACAGGCACCATTAAGAGTCACTCACAGGCATTAATATGCGTAGGCACACAGACCCGTGCCTGGCCCAGAGTGAGGCTGTATCACGTTTGCTCTCCTTATTCTTACGGATCCTATGAAACACGTAGTTACCCAGTTCACAGATGATGAAACTGAGGCACAGAGAGATTAAATAATTTACACAAGGTTCCAGAGCCACCTAGTGAAGAGCTGTGATTTGAACTTAGGCCGTTTGGCTCCAGAGCTTGGTGCTTAACCACTACGTACTCAGAATCCTACACAGGACACAGTAAAGCTGAATGTTCTCAGAGTGTGGGGCTCAGAAAGGGAGAATGAGGAGCTGAGAGGTGGTGGTCAGCCCTCAAGGAAGAGGCAGCTATTGAGGAGGCTGGGACACAGCGTAGCCAGGTGGCAGGAGGCTGTGGGCCCCAGAAACAATGCCCCTCTTGGCATCACACCAAGCACAGGCTGGCCTGCCGGGGTCCCGCCCCATGCCCCTTGGGTGGCTGGGGATTGGAGATCCATTATGAGGGGGATAAGAGCAGCCAGAATTCCTTCCCACTTCTCAGACTGTCGGGCTTCAAGTCTCTGTTGCCTTCACACTGCCAGTGTCTCAGATGTAACAGAAACTCATGTGATCAATTTTTGTGCAGCAATTTCCTGATGAAATAGCCTAGAACTTTCTTTTTTTTTTTTTTTTTTTTTTTTGAGACGGAGTTTCACTCTTGTTGCCCAGGCTGGAGTGCAATGGCGCGATCTCGGCTCACCGCGACCTCCGCCTCCTGGGTTCAGGCAATTCTCCTGCCTCAGCCTCCTGAGTAGCTGGGATTACAGGCACGCACCACCATGCCCAGCTAATTTTTTGTATTTTTAGTAGAGACGGGGTTTCACCATGTTGACCAGGATGGTCTCGATCTCTTGACCTCGTGATCCACCCGCCTCGGCCTCCCAAAGTGCTGGGATTACAGGCTTGAGCCACCGCGCCCGGCCCTAGAACTTTCTTTACCAAATTGGCAGAGAAAAGAGAGAATAACGTAGCTCAAAGTGAAAGTGATTTTAAGATAATGAGAACTGTCCAGGCATGGTGGCTCACACCTGTAATCCCAGAACTTTGGGAGGCTGAGGCAGGTGGGTTAATTGAGTTCAGGAGTCCAAGACCAGGGTGATGGGCAACATAGCAACACCCTGTTCTCTACAGAAAATGCAAAGATCGGCCAGGCATGGTGGCGTGTGCCTGTAGTCCCAGCTACTCAGGAGGCTAAGGTGGGAAAACCACTTGAGCCTGGGAGGAGGGGGTTGCAATAAGCTGGGATCACGCCACTGCACCTCAGCCAGGGTAACAGAGTGAGACCCTGTCTCAAAATAATAGTAATAATAATAATAATAATGAGAACTTTTCATTAGTGGCAACACCAGCACATTTTGATGTCTAGAACTGACACAGGGAAGGAACATGGGCAAGACAGACATGCATATAATGGGGGCCAAGGGCTCACCGGAGCTTCTGGAATGAAAATCTTGCAGGAGAGATCCAAGGGGCATAAGTCACATGCCTTGGACAGAATCGGGAAAGAGTATGGCTGAGGCAGAACCAAATGAGAGGCCAAAAGTAGGCATAATCTGTGTTTCCTGTCGGCTTTTGTTTGACTTTTTGAAAGTTAGCTTCCTGGGTTACCTTCTGATTTGTTCATAGATGCGGTGTCGCCTAATGAGCTGGACCATGCTAGGCTCTTAAGGCAGATATCCTATGCCCAGCCCCGCAGATTTGCCATATGCCTCAGTGTTCACTGCAGGAGGGACTGAATTCCTAACTGGGGTTATGAGAAGCAGCTTGGCAGGGGTGGGGAGTGCCTTGGATGTGAGAACTATGTGCATGGATAACCATACCTTCCCCAAAGAAAATAAGGCCAAGTGTTTATAAAGCTGGAGAAACCCACAGGCCGGAAAATACTTCTGTGTCATGCTGGCTCTCCAGGTACGAGCCCCTGCGAGAAGAAAGTACAAGACCTGAATGGAACCTGGAGCCCAGTTCCTGTGGCAGGGGCGCAGGAAGGAGGAGGTCCCAGGAAGGGAAAGCCAAAGCCCCTGGCCTGTGTTACCACAAAACGCGCAGCAACGCCAAGGCCACAAGACACACTGTCAGGAAGCATCGCTCTGCCCTTCCCACCCACCTGCCATCACCTGCTGGAAGTTCCCACCTGATCCACGTCACTTTCTCAGCCGTGTGTCCTGGTCAGCGC